GTAAGCAAAATACCTGTGTGTAAGTTGCGCTAAGTCCGGAGGCTGTACCTTCTTAGGGTATCGGGTGAGGGGACCGTATACCCCTCTGTGCGTAAAGGACTGTGTAAGAGAAGAATTACAATAAACAGAGTGTGCCTCATAAGATGTTTATTCGTCATTATAAACACTACACCTATATAACCTCTTGCCACGGCAGCTCTCTTGCCTATTCCAGCATTTTATCTTGCTGTGGTTGTTCGACAGGATGAGGATTACTTGTGTTGCGATCAAAACGTCGTGATTTGTTTTATTTTATTTCTACCTACGTGACTTTACCGAAAGAACCAAAGAGTATGGATTCCTGCAGTCACGAAAGCTTCAAATCAAGATTTAACAGTCCTGAGGCTTCATATATAGGGAGTTTGATAGTTTTCTAATTCTCAAAAGGAAAATGTTACTTGCAGTGTGCATGTTTTGTAAGAGCTGCTGGGCCTTGAGAACATTACGGAGGATCATGGGTTTTGAGCATGGTAGTAAGGTTGTGCCCCCCCCCCCTCTCGTCAGGCATGTGAGCACGTTCACACAGGCACTACCATAGATCACATCTTCTTTGCAAGGCACTGTGGCGAGATGCTAACTAACTCGTCTAGTAAACAGGAGTTTCCATGTTCTCCCCATTGTCGCGTGGATTTTTCATTGGGTCCTCCGGTTTTTACCTCCACATTTATTAACGTGCGCTTCGAGTGTTTGGCTGCTATAAATGTCCACGTAATAAGCCACTTCATTGAGCTATCATTTGTGGCCAGGCCGCTTCTGGAAAAAAATCTATATAGCTCAGTGGGCCTTATCTGGTAAAATATAAAATAGTTTAGATAGTTTAAAAGCCATGGCTCCTGAAATCGCCACAGTGCACCAATCTATCCATCTTGTCTCAGTGAGTGCTGCTCCCAGACAAAATTCTACCATTCTGCCCAAGCCAGAGCACTTCACAGACTTTGTGATTTCCATTCTCTTTATCCATGTCCATCGTAGCAGACACAGCCAATTTGCTCCTGCCACATACATAGTTTCAGTTGTGATCGAGCTTTCAGATAAAAAAAAAAACACTTTAAACCTTTGCACATTATGTAGCTCGACTTCTGAGCTGCCCAGTTTTGATGGATGCAGAGTTCATATTCTGTATGGAAAGTAAGCGATCAAATCATCACGTACAGTAATGTAGTAACTGAAGATGGCATGCTAAATATTATATGGTGGTTGCATTTTTTTTCTAACTTCGTAATACATTTGAATAAAGAATGTGTTTCATTCCGCAAGCAAGTACAGGATATATTTATTACGATTTAAAATGTAAAATGTACATATAGTACATAAAAACAGCCAATATAATGGTTTTCATCTGGTTGATAAAGTTGATGCCAACTCATTTACGGGAATTCAAAGCAATGGGATGAGAAGAAATGCCAATGCTTGGTAAATTACATTATTACATGCACAATTAATAACTTAACAATGCACTTTGAAGGGTTTTTTAAAGACAACAATATAAATGGATTTTAATCACAATAGGTGAATGAAAACACACTCCATGCCTGGTAATACAACACTGACAAGAACACAACATGATGCCATTTGCAATAACCACTCTAGCCATGACAGTCCTATAGAGGTACCCAGCACAAACGAATTTTATTGACAATAATTATATTAATTCAGGCTTACACTTAATTGTATTCTAGTTTATATCGCAGAGTGTATTAAAGGGCAACAATACTATTCAAATGGAGAACTCTGTTTCAAATATTATTATACAAAGTATTTTGATATTTGTTTGTTATTTCTCCATTCTTGGGCCACATCATAAAATTAGCCACTGCACTATCTCAGCAGACACCGTATGGCTGCCAGACAATAAAAGGACACTGGATTAAACGTGCCAGGTCTCACATCTGGATTGGTCATGAGACGCGTGCAAAATATGGAAACGGAATCCCAAGTTTCTGGCATTAGGCTTCAAAGTAAACACAGCCAAAATGTAATGCTGCTGTGAATCCTATTGCTGTGCTTACTGCACGCTCGCTACGCGGCTAACTCTGGCCAGACGGAGGCCCGCACTGCCTTGCCAAGGTTAGCAATGGGGGCAAAAAAAATCCCCAGCCATGAGTCTGAGACGCCCTCCATCTTCAAATAGCCGTCCACGAAATTAATGGAAAATGGAGGACATGTCTGGATCTCAAACAAAAACAACTTTGATATGAATAAAAAAAATGATTGGGACTATTATCTTGCAAATAAAATCGTTGTAGCAGCACAAAAGTACTAATTTACAAAGAGTATTAAAACAAAGATGTATATTTTTCAACATGAAACATTTCAGCACCAGACATGAAGCATTTGTTCTCTCGCGCACAGCTGTGGGAAAGTTTGAAAGTGCCTAAAATTTGCATCTTGTCATCATTGTAAGAGCACCATTATGGTAGAATGAACAGTTTAAAGCACGCGTGGGCATGTTGCCTCTTCGGTTCAAAACAATCTTGCAAAGCCAAAATACAATTCCCATGCACGGATGGAATAAAAAAAAATATTCCAGGAACACTGCCAAATTTTAAACTGTCACAGTCTGGAGAGTTAACTCTAGATTTGAAGTTTGGAGAGTGTAGCATTAACGGCTAATAGCCAGCTCAATTACTTGCCATAAGGTCACAGTAAACAACTCCTAGGCAAAAACTACATTAATCTACTTGTCACACAATATCTGCATATTTGGTGTTCAGTTTTAGATCAAATATGAATAGCGTAAGGAGAGTATACTCTAATCTGACCGAGTCTGATCTCCATACCAGCTGTCCCAATGGTTCTAGATTATATTCTCTGTGTACATCCATACACTAAATGTATATTTTGTTCACCTATCAAGCGACTACACAAGGCTGAAAATATATCATATGAGCCAAAGATGGAACACATATGAGAAGAAGCCTGCTATGGAGAGAGAGCAGAAAGATTGCGTTCATGTGCAGGAGTGAGATGGATTGTGTCATCATAGGGCTATAAGGGACAGCGATGGTGTTGGGAGTCCAGCAGTGGATAGACCATGGTTTTTGGTGATCAAAATAATGTTATATCTTACAACAATTCACCCAGGAACTCATACACATCATCATCACTTTCAAATGTAATAAAGATGTAAAATTATATATCGAAATTACAAATATATAATGATGATTATATATCATATATATGCAGACGATGAGAAACCAGAAGTAATGCAATCTCGAAACTACTGCCCTACATTGTCTAAGGTAGATAGTATCATTGTACATAATTTCTATAAAATGGTGACTATAGGTTACTTCAACCTGAGTGTTGGTCATCTTGCTTTACCTTAACACAGTGATTCTTGGCAAGTTCATGCATCCCACTTTACACACCGTATTCATTGGGTTTGTCACAATGTAATCGCTCCGATTGGCGGCATCGGCAGCCTCCACAGCTGGCCTCTCATGAGCTAATTTTTAAGAGCCCAATCACAATAACTGTGGCCATGTGCTGTCCAAATGTATTTTGTTCCCTAGAGATGGTAAATATTGTGAATATTTATCATTCATAACCACACTGTAGCCGCAGAGACTTCCTGTTGTGGTAAATGCTGAATTCTATTTCATTCAGTAATTCAAAAAATGTCAGCTTTTCTTGCTTTTACATGAAGCCACGTGAGTATTAAAAAAATATATCAAATTAACGTTCATTCTGCTACATCCATCTCCATTCTACTATATCCATAATCTTACATTTCTACCATGAGCATTTCCGAAAATAGAATTAGCATCAATTCTAGCACAATACCTTGTCATACAAGCAACCTGACACACCCACACTAAGCCATATTGTGAGTTTTACACATAATCCCATTGTGATGGTGGAAGATGAGAATATTTGATTTATGTTGCTGTTGTGAGTATTCTTAAATCTGCACTTCGCCTGGTAGGACTGGCATGTTGCTACGGCCATTGACTGTCGTGTTAATACAAATTCCATATGCGGTGATTATCAATGTATAAGGCGGGTTTCATTTGGTAAAAAATGTCATTGTTATATGAATTTTGCTGGAACACAAAATCTACTTTTTAAAGTAAATCAACGTATTTGGTGGGACTGCATTGGCAGTAGCGCACACGCACCATTAATCAAAAAAACCTCCCCAACGCATTCTTCAATAACACATGTTCAATAGCACGTTTGCTATGAAGAAGGGCCATTGCTCGAAACGTCACCTATTATATATTTTTGATTTCTCTCTTATAAGGCAGAATTATTGACGAACGTGTCGATGTTTTGGTTTTAAGTAACATAAGCAATATGTTAAATGATGCAGAATTTGAAGGAAGCTAAAATGGAAAATTCCATAACATTCTCATTCGTGGAGATTTTTCCCGAAGACAAATGTTAATTTGAATAAATGGGTTAAGCTGGTTTAAAAGTTAATAAGCACACCGTGCATGTTTTCCACGGAGAAAGGTCAATTGCTAAGACATGAGCATTATTTTTTTTTTATAAAATATTAGAATTTATCCACTGTCTTTGTTCTGCGGACCCTTTTAAAGTGGCACAATCCATAAAACTTCACATCAGCACATTGTTTAGAGCACTGCTGTGTCTTCCACACCTTATGAGAGATAATATCACAATATTGTTAAATGTAATGTTGTGGTTGGTGCGGTGAACCATTCTCGGACACATTTAGTGGTGTTACGTGTTTATAGACAAAAAAAAAGCTAATAAATATACCCACAATATATCTTATATCTGCAGTAACTGCATACGTCAATAAACTAGTAAGTGGTGCTCTTACCAAATATAGCCTTTGCTCTTTTATTGGTTTCACAAAAAAACAAGTACCAAGCTTCCAGTTATCAATAAAAAATAACTTTCCACTGCTTATAGGGTCTGAAAATTAAAATATGGGACATGTTTATTGAATTGTGTAATTCAGTTTGTGATGTGCATGAAGTAGCACTCACCGGAGGAATTACCCCCCACTGCCATGCAGAGGCCACTGTTACAAGCAATCTCCTCCTGAGCTTTGTCAAACGTTACAGTTTGCTTGTGATCTCCTCCAGAGTCCACAGACACTGCTTTGGGGTCATACAGGACGTAAAGTTGTGATGCACCAAGCAGGAGCCTAGAGAAGATAGAGAAAATTGTGACAGTCAAAAAGTATTGGGAACATCAGGCGAGAAATGCCAAACTAATATAATGTTGGTCTTTGAAGTCCAACATTTTACTCACTTTTTTAACAATTGCTTTATGGGTCACCATGTCATTCAAAAATCTATTCATATAATTGAAGCCCTCTTGAAAAAAAATATGTAAATGGAGCTCCACATGTAAATAATAATATTACTGGAATAAGCAGATGCAAATATTTATAATTTGTTCAGGCATCTTTGTTTTTGAACTTCCTGTAAGTTTCTCATAGATCAAATAACAACATTAAACAGCATCTGCTCTTTTGACAGGATCTGTTAAAAGTTTAAGGCTCTAGCACCGTAACCAAAACATTCCAGTTCACACCACTAATGTACCCCCCTTGGAAAAATATTGTTTTAATATGAAACGACAGTCATGCTCATGGTATACTGAAAATGAGAAAAAAATTATAACTGAAAATATGTGCCATTATCCAAATAAGACTCGAGCCCGTAGAGTGATACTGACATACATTCCAATTAATTCTAGTACGTAACTGTCGAATGGTTCGATGAGGTTCTATTGTTCATCTGGTTATGAATAACATTATGAATTAATGTTTGAATAAGGTGCACACATCTGCCCACCTAAAAACAACCCCATAAATCCCATGTTTCTCCTTTTTGGAGGGCAAATTGAAAATGAATCCAAGCCATTTGCAAATAATTTCTGGAGTGGAATTATTACAGCTTTGAGCGTTGCTTTTGTCTCAAGATTTTTTAAAGTACTTTTTTCAAAAGTGTTTCCATGTCCTTTATCCCACTTAATTTTAACACTTTTTTACGAAGAAATGTTTTAAAGTATTTTTTATACGGAATATAGTTTAATTGACATTTGTATTTTCTGTTTGAAAAAAGGTAAAAGTTAGTATTTTGAAAGAACATACACTTTGGTTATTTCGGTAAAGTCACGTAGGTATAAAAAAAATCACGACGTTTCGGGCGCAACACAAGCGTCCGTTATTTTATACCTACGTGACTTTACCGAAATAACCAAAGAGTATGGATTCCTGCAGTCACGAAAGCTTCAAATCAAGAGTGAAAGAACATGTGTAAAGGTCATAATGAAAGTTGTTTTGGGCGAATTTAAAGGTGCTAACATTCACTTTAATAGTTGGCTTAGTTTTACTTTACATGCACTATTTTTTCACAAAGTAAATAATTAAGGGTTTTAAAAAATATTAACCTTGTCATAACACTACTTCACCCAGGGACACATCATCATAAGTCTTGTTCAATATGCTGCTGGATGAAGGCCTCTCCACATCGTCCCCATCCCTCATTGCTCTGCGATGCCTCCATCCATCTCGCTTCTGTACATGAGCTGATGTCATGGCTCCAAGGTGGATGTCCTCTCTCGTGTGTGTTACCTCATGTGGCTGCCCTGTAATCACCAGTCTGCCTAAACGCACAGTACTTTTTTTGACAGTCAATGTCTCTAATTTTGTATTTGTTCTCTGATCCATGTACCCCTGCCTACGTATCTCACTATCATTCTCAGCATCCATCTCTCCATTACAATGTACTTTTCCGCTTTTGTTTCACACTTTAAATCGGAGTTCATGTTTCTCATATATGGGTATACATAACCCAGGAAGCCACTGGGCATAAATACAGTAATTATATAATTGTGTTTAGCTATGTTCTCACACTAAACGTCTCCCCGAGTGCATTTGTCTGTGTACAATGGAAGACTTGTGACTTCTTTAAAAATTGAAATGTTATCGCAGAGCTATTCTGGATCCTATCACACCAAACCCGCCTTTCCCCCACTCCCACGTGTACACAATTCACACATCTGGCTTCATCCCTGCACCTGGTTAACAACATTTTTGTCATGTTACAAAGGTCCCAATGGTCCGAGTATACTTGACTTATTTATCGATCCATTGAACAGTTTCCATTAATTACGGATAGTAAAAATAAATATGAAACATAGTTAAACACTTTAATTTAAATAAAGATGGAGATTACCTTTACGAATGGTGAAGCAAATATAACTTCAATCTGTATAGGGAATGTGGCGATGACACAATACTGTATAGAAAAAAACACAAGCTTTCTGACTGTATGGACCTTGGTATTCAAGAGATACACAAGGTGAATCAATTCCAATTTGTTATCAAGATGCACAGATGGATTAATATATGGAGGTCTAATAAGGTCTGGAAATGAAAATGTGTTTTCTTTAATGGCAATGAATGCTGAACAGCTGTTTGCTAACAAAACTCCACACCAAGCAGCTACATACCAAATCGTGCCATGACTCTTCAAAAAAGTGAAGTTGCTTTAGGTTTGCCAGCATCAATCATACATTAAAGCAAATGACATGCTTAAAATCTTACTCCAATTGGAAGATCAATCGATTTATTTCAACGTTTTGCTCGACACCTGATTTAAATAAATGTAATCTACACTGACTGCTGACATTTCACACACATGTCCATTATATGATAGAACTGTAAATGCAGTAAAAACACACACTTTAGCTGGACAAGTTGTGTACATTTTTTCCCTTTGTTTTAAGCTGTGGCCAACAGCTGATCAGACAAGAATTGAGGTGCAATTAACAAAAGGAATGCAAACTAATGATAGATGCATGCACCTAACATTAGACATGTCTCTTTGGCATGCCTTCCCTGAAGCGCAGAAGGCATGCCATTCCAACAAAACAAATTACCACCACCCGTATTCTTGGTTCTTTCGGTAAAGTCTCTTAGAAGGGAAACAATAAAATAATAAAAATATAAAACAATAAAATTCTCACGACGTTTCGACTGCAACACAAGCAATCATCATCAGGTGTGAAAACCACAACAAGAAAATTTGAAAAAAGTGGCGGTTATTTTTAACGTTAGCACCACGTAGGGAGATTTGACAGTTTGTTCAGATGGACGAGTCCATCTATGTTCGGAAAAGACGAAAAATAATGGATGCGGTCTGAAAGCCACCTTAAGCGTGATCAATCAATTAAGATCCGAAATGGTTTATCAAATCCTTCCAATGATTGCTAAGCCAGAATCCATCTTCTCGGTTGAAATTGTCTCTGTGTTTGTATATGATGATCGCTTGTGTTGCAGTCGAAACGTCGTGAGAATTTTATTGTTTTATATTTTTATTATTTTATTGTTTCCCTTCTACGTGACTTTACCGAAAGAACCAAGAATATGAATCCCTGCAGTCACGAAAGCTTTAAATAAAAAATACCACCACCCGATCGCAAGATAAAATTAAAAGTTAATGTAGCATTTAAAACATTGAACACAATTCACATCTCAAAAAATATATCTCCTGCAAATGAGCTGAATTCATTCCTTCATCTGCACGGTGGAATTCCTCTCGGGAATGCTCCCTTCCTTTGGCTGCCACTCACTCATTCATCTTGACTACCAGTCACCAACCCTTCTTGCGAACATACATTCTATATATATATAAATCATGATACTGAGCAGTGTGTCAAGATGTTAATGAATATACACTGACGAGTTGGAAAGCCTAGCATATTAGTTTCATGAAATACTTTTAATTATATATTTCTAACAGCCTCCAGTTGAGGTTAGTTTGCACACACATTTTACATCAGACGTCTTTAATTCTATTGTTCTACAATGATGCCCTCCCAAAAACACCGAAAAATCTATCAAAATACTGAAAAGTGTTTATTTATGTTATTATTTAATTCATACCAGTTTTGATCCACCACCCCGCTTCAATGTTTGGGACAAAGTATAACTTTAGGATTCAAAAGCTCCAGGATCTTGAACAATCTTTGAAGGTATTTTGTTTCTCGGTCTCAAGAAACTACTGGGGTCTCGGTTCGGTATCCAAGCAGTGACACGTGCAAAAGATACACGCCGATCATCCATCACACTTACAAATCCCTATCTCACCTGTCATTGTGGTTCAAGAGGGCGGGCTGGGTGAGAGGGCAGCCATTTATGAGCACCCTGGCCTCTGGTGACGGTGCCAGGATGATGACACCATCCTTATTATTCACCGAGGCATGATGAGGGAGCACCCCGACCCCGTGCAAAATTATTCCAGCCGGGTTTTCCGACTTGCCGTTTCCAATAGACAGGGATCCTTGTGGATGCGGGCATCGGGGAGGAAAACCACAGGGTTAGTAAAGTCACAGTGCTACAAAGTATGAGTGCCATATGTTGAATTTTGATTGAGTGGCTGTATGTTTGGAAGAAGCTTGTGATAATTAGATTTGTGTCACAATAAATTTTGAGGCATAGAATCTACTTTTTTAAACCATCAAAAAATCTACATGCTGTGTTATACCATATTGAAGTCAGTAACAAATTCCAACCAAATTATTCCTAAGAAGGTACTGTGTTTGTTCCTTCTTTGGTTAAAATGTCACAGTCTCATGGGTGGGACACCATCTATGGCGCAGCTGGCCTCTACTGGCTCCAATTCATACCAGCAGATTATTTAGGCCACTCCGAAAGCATTAACTTCTCAGAGCATTTTGCTGGAGATGTTTGGGTTGTGTGAGATGTTATGATTCCACGTGGCATTAATCCCAAGTGATGCATTGCAAAGGAATGTTGCGATGTGTCATGTGTGTGCACAATGTGTGTTGTTTAAAATTCTGCAAACATATACAATTTAAAATTATTTTGTGTTAATTTTTTGTAATTTCGTCGTAATTGTACCTCAATAAATCTAAGATCATTGCTCAAAATGAACTATTTTATCTTATATATAATCTCAGGCAAGTAGGGAGAAACAAACAATAATCACACATATTAGGACACACTAGATGCGAGGCCATATAGGAGGATTCCTGAGGATGCGTGCATGTAAATGCAGTTTGTGTCGGTAGTACAATGGGATCCCTGGAATGTGCCCAACCTTCTGGGATGAAATGACAGAGAAGGCCATTAAGTGCAGGGTCTTCGTTCAAGTTCCACAAGTGAGGTATCGTCTTCCTTTTTTCCCGCAGCTCCTTTTCCTCCTTCAGCTTTTGCTACATGAAACACCAGGGAAAGAATGCATAAATTAAGTTACAATTATGTATATAAAAACTAAACTTTTTAAAAATTATATTTTACCAGGTAACCATACTCTTTGGTTCTTTTGGTAAAGTCACGTGACTTTAGAATGAAATTTCATAAAATTTCATTTTATACCTACGTGACTTTACCGAAAGAACCAACGAGTATGGATTCCTGCAGTCACGAAAGCTTCATATCAAGATTTTACCAGGTAAGTTCCACTCAGCTTTACAGCTCTTTTTCAGAAGCAACCTGGCCACAAATGATAGCTCAACGAAGTCGCTTATCACATGGAAATTTACAGCAGCCAAATACGAATGTTGATTCTAAATCTGGAGGGAAAATCCAGTAGACCTGTAGAAAGATCCATGCGACCACGGGAAGAACATGCAAACTCCAAATATACAGCAGGTGTCAGGGTCAGGATCAAACCCACGACCTGCTGCATACCAGGGGGGTAGTTAACATCTCACCACCATGACGGCCTTACAAAAATATGTACATCTTGCCAAAAAAACTGAAGGTGACAGCATTGCAAATGTTTGATACAATTTAAATCAGGCAATTCAGCAATCTTCTTTGGTTCTTTCGGTAAAGTCACGTGACTTTACCGAAAGAACCAAAGAAGATGAATCATTGCAGTCACGAAAGCTTTAAATCGAAATTCAATTCAGCAATGTTATGTTTTTGCGTTAAAGGACACATTTGAATTACTTTATACATTATAGTTCATCTTTACTTTCAGAAATTAAGTATTAGAGACGAAAAAATATGGTTAGAGCAAAGGAACCAGCATGAGTAATTCCACACGCAAAGGGATTTGATGGCAGTATACACCAAGTGGAATAGCGCCACTGGATGGGACAAGCAGCAAGGGTGAGCACCTGATGTGCAAGCCTTTCGCTTGCCAGCCTCTGTTCCCAGCTCATGGCCATGTGCTCCATCTCCCGCCGGTTCTGCTCCAGCTGCTGGCGCAGGGATTCCAACTCTACACGACTCAAAATCATGCAAGATACAATCAATAGGTTACAATCATCATCAGCCTTGGTCAATCCACTGCTGGATGATGGCCACCCCAAGCCCTAGCCATCCCTCACGGTCCGACATGGTTACTTAGAGCTAAAACAGGCCTCATTCCAGCTCCTTCTCGAATAAATGGCCAGTGGAGCTGTTGCGTGGGGGGGGGGGGGGGGCACGGTAGCAGTGATTCACACCGCTAATAGAGAGAACTTGGCTGGGTCACAGGGACATTTGGTGGTGCAGGGCCCACCCCAGGACTCCCCTTGCACCGACCCTACACTAAAATTAGATCTCTGCAAAACAGCGAACTTTACAGAACGTTTCATTGCTGTGGGAGAGGCACTCGTCTACAAAATGGCTGTATATGTACAATATTCATAAACAAAATAAACTTGGATGTTTCTGCGTACATTTAATTTCAACTTAGATTTATTCACAAAATACTACCATTTAAATTTGTCAGTTTTACAATTCTGGTCCAAGTTAACTATGTTTTGTGTCAATGATTTGTGGTACCTCTGGCTCACCACCACCATTGACCTAAGCTACCTATAGTTTCTTATGAGCCAAAGACTTCGGTAGATTGAATCTTATTCTGCTATCTATATCGGCTGTTTAGTCAGGGGCTCGAGGGAAAAAGTAGTGGCACTGCAGCTGCTCTTGTAGTGACATCACATATGGCCCTGCCTTCATTAAAAGAGGCAGGTGAGGAAGACTTCTCAGCGCCGTAGCTGGCCTGGCTCAGCAGCTCTTGCAGTCGCATGTTTTCCTGCTGTAGCTCACGGACGAGACGGCTGGTCGGGCTCTCATTCACCACCGCCTGCACTCGGATTGCCTTTGCCCGGTCCACTGCGTTCAGCCAAAAACCGGCAGATAAAAAAAAAGTTCCTATCCATCATACAAGGGGGATTTCTCCTGGATAATAATAATGATTAATTCATTTTCAAAATTAGTTTGCACATACGTCCATTCCAAATACAATAATCGGATTGCAACACATGATGAGTGACTTCTAGATTCCTCTTGCAAACCTACGGGTTTTTATCAGAGATTTGTTCACGAGGCAATTCAGATCTACAAACACAGACACAATTTCAACCGAGAAGATGGTTTCAAATTAAGCAATCATTGGAAAGATGTTCTAAATCGAACTAAACATTAAACTAATTTCAATGGTACAGTATATTTTTCAAGTAGTGGTACCCCAAACTTTCGCAGCTCTTATAAATTCCCTTTTCACACCATCAATAGGTAAACTCCCCCCCCCCGCGCCAAACGGCAAGTCCACCGGCACGTACACCACCTCTTTTCTAAAATCGGCCAATCAAATGCTAATTTTTATGCTAATTTCTTTGTCAGGACACCTTGTTTGCTCGCACACAGTTTAAAGGTCCGCGGTCTGAGCGTGGTTGTGTTTCGCTAAATTCTCCTGTTTGATTTGTACTAGGTGCCTCGGTGAATGTATATGCTCTGACTTTAACATAGCTATTTCTGTGACCAATTACAAGCTAATCACTCAGCTATTTCAATGCTAAATTCTATGCTAATTCCTTTGTCAAGGGGTGCCTCTGCGGATGTGTATACTTTAACTTAGCTATTTCAATGAGCCATTTCAATGCTAAATTATATGCTAATTCCTTTGTCAAGGCGCTTTGTTTTCTTCTCACACAGCTTAAAGGTCGTGATCTGAGCGTGGCTTTTTTCACTCCAGCGCTGTCCTCCAGACAGTCTCGTCTCTTCACCTGATGAAGGCCGCTCGTGTTGTGGCCAAAACGTCGTGATTTTTGTTATTTTATTTTTTACCTACGTGACTTTACCCAATAGAACCAAAGAGTATGATGAGTGACATTTGTGGTACTCAAGATTATACTTTTATTTTGTAGGGGTTTTTCCACAATAACTAAAGGGAACCTCTTGTCATGTCAAAATGGAGTAAATCACACTCAATATTTTTACTGTGAAAATGTTAACACATTTCTTAGAAATCCTGCAATGAGAAATTTGACACACGCATTTAACTGTCAAAGAATGTGACGAGATGGGTCTCTACTAGATAGTCTTCACCAAACTAAGTGAAAGGAAGACAATCCACATTCCTGTGTGTACTGAAAGAGTAACCATAACAGCTGTGTGTAGGGTAGAAACACGTTAGGAGGCAACACAATCCTCTTTGCTGGGAGCAAAATCAGCAGGATTTACTTTGAGACAAAAGGGCCATTTCCTGACTCCACTGAAGGCTTCCCAGACAATACGCAAACACACCTAGCCCTAGGCGTTTAAACGTTTCAAATGGCTTTAAACTGGGCCATCATGTCCCCCTCTCAGTGCCTGTTGTAAAACCTCACCAAAGCGGAGGGTGGATAAGGTTTCCTCATAATTGACATCCGCAGGGCTCAGCGCTGCAATCTGCACAGACAATTCGTTAAAAATGGCAGCTGTGGTTTGTGGCTTCATTCTTTAAGATATGGTAAAAACGTCTCTTTGTCCATTAAATCATTACCTTAGCCACTTACATTCTAACAGACAGTACTTTATGTTCCTGATGTCAAGCAGCAATGCTAATCAAACATACTTTAAGAGACGGATTAAATTTATTTGTATTATTGTATCACAGCACAATTCAAAATGCAATGAACTGAAAACAATGGTCTGCGAAAATGGATACACTGCTTGTGCCTGGACTCTATCAGGTACCAATCCCATTGTCACATTAATCAGCAATTCATGTATTATACCTGCAAGAAAGGTTACTCATATGATACATGACTATTGCATCATTTTATATAGTATTGGCAATGGACATCTGGAGAAATTTGGCTTCAATGTGATTATTATTGCATGAAAAATGGTGGAAAAATCAAAGTGCAATCCTTGGCCTCTTAAAGTTTATAGGTTTTTTTAAATGGAATTAACTCAGGTCTTGGGCCACACTGAGTACCCTTCAGGCATGCACAGAGAGTAGCCGGCTACAAACAGAAACATCCCATTACTGCAGTGGGCTGAAGAAATGATAGTCTGCATTTCTTTAGTGTGCTAATTTGGGCAAAATTGTGCACATTAAAGACAATGTTAATTGTCCGCTGTTCAACATCATCAGAGAGCATTCTTTAAACTTTGTGCACAGACATTTTAACCACAAAAATTAAGATGGTTCTTACCATGATGGTCTTGCTGTTGCCTCCCAAGGCATTTTTCAATAATTTTGTGAGTACCGAATCTCTGAATGGCAGTACTGGTGTGAATGGAAACAAGACAACACCCAATGTGATGCAATGAGAACATCCAACAAAAAAATAACTTGAACGTCAATCATACCTATTCATTGTTAAATGTTATACAAACAAAACATGTGTTAAGTATGACTTATCAACGCTGTCTTTAGTGGTGTTACACATTTCAAGTACCGTATTGTTTATTCCATGAACATTGACGTGGATGAAAACAATGAATTCCCTGTTTTCGTAATGCTCCACGCTGAGTCATTTGTTTTATTTTCTCTCCGAGTGCCTTCGGAGAACAAGGCCAGTGCCCTGCAGATAAAATCAACTACTATGGTGATATTGCCTGCCAGGCTGTGAGATGAGCAACCGTCAAACTCTATCAAAACACACCTGGGCGAGGGTCTAGTATACCGTAATGTGTGAACGGATAATATTACATTGAACACTGTCATGTGATGAATTTACTCTAGAGTACAAAAAATACCCACACGCATGTTCATGGTGCGCGTTTTTAATGTGAAGGGGAAGGGCAAATTACATATGTGTATGTTACCATTGAAAACAAGGACATTCCCAAAGTGCACATACACATCCTTATGTGCTGTGTGATTGTGTCTAAACAACAAAGTCCATCACGCTGGACAGTTCTAATAACAGTATACCTTAAAAAGACAATAATACTATGAGTCACATATATACTATGCCTTTCCAAAATCATTCTCTCCATGGTACCTTACAGTACATACAATGTCCACAGATTTGTCCACACCAAGTAACTGGTAACACAGTCATGATAGAAAAATCATTAATTTTAGTCATGATCTATCAAATGCTGGATTGAAGACCTGCCCAAGCTATCGCCATTCCCCACAGTCATCGATCATCGATGCAACAAACCATCTCGATATGTGGCATTTCATTGTGAATTTCAGTTTTGCAAAAGCCCTTCAACCTTCTCTGGTCTACCTCAATTCCTCCTAATTTTGATCCTGGTTTAATAATTATTCAAGGTACACCAGGATCAAAATAGAATTACCAAATTATAATTAATTATAATTACCACTAGGTATGTAAACTCTCATATGGCATTCAAGTTGTGTTCATCCAACATATCTCTTCAATTTTTAAGTGTACATGAATTAACTTTGCAGCTAGGCATTTGTTTCAGCGTAAATTGATGCGATCATTCAAGCTCTCACAACCAAGCACACTAGATATTGGGAGAGGAGTTAGCAAAGGACTGACTTTTTTGCCAAAGATATACGCAAGGACACGATAATACGGTTCCAAAATAAATAGGAAAGTATTAACCTTCTCATATTTGCCAATGACAAAATATGAGATGACAACTCGTGACAATTAACGATAAACATTTACTGAAGAACTAAATAAAGTAGGATGCAAAGTTGATCTCCCATATGCAATTACAAATGACAATGTATAGGAATATTGTATATATGGTATACTGAATCATTTCAATACAATATGTAAACATAGGAGGTTAATTAAACTATCCACTGAAAATTTTAAGCGATGACATTTTTTTCTAAAAATCACTGTCGAGTTCTTTATCTCAAATATATTTGGTGGACATAATATCGCACTCCACTCGTCAAACTTTATGTCTAAACACACTTTTATTGAATGTAAGCAAGGTGTATTGACGCTGAGACCACAATTTCTCAATCTGCTGATATCGACAAACGCAGCTAAACATTTCGTAACAATTCATCGTTTCAAACAAACATTTCAACAGCACAGCCCAGCACAGCTGCAGAATGGGGCAGCACCATGCTGAGGCTGCTCTGTTTAAAAGTTTTTGATAAATGCACTGGCCCTGCTCGCTTAGTTTTATGCTGTAGATATTTAAGAATACAAATCTGACAGAAGTGAGAATATGCCAATACATGTCATTACATTAAAATTATATTATTTATACCAATCGATACATTATTATAACGCATTATAAATCAGTGTACATGAAAAGCACGACAGGTCAAAATAAACCAGCATAGAATGAATGGAAGGGAATGTATTCTGTCGGAACATTCAACAACAAAAAAAACGGATTTCCAGTTCAAATTAGCACTGCTTCAGTATTCATCTCCTATTCAAAACCCTGGCCCAATGATAGACATTCTACATTCCTATGGCAGGGAAAGTATATTCACAGGACAACCACTGTTGACTTCCCCAAAAGTGGTACTCATTTGATCAATAATGGTCAGATGATTGGCCTACTCAATCCTCAACCAGGATTTGAACTCGCTACCTTCTGACTGGGAGCTGCTCGATTATACCACTGAGCCATGTAAGTACAGTAGAGCAGACATGGAATGCCACTGTAGGCGGTCCACATTTTAGCGAGACACAATTCCAAACGGCCATAAAAAGGGCACAGATAAACACTGGTTGCCTGTTTACGTTTCTTGAGTGCTCCCACCCAGGCAGCAGGATGGGCTATTCCCTCCATCCGGTGAAGACAGACATGGTACATAAACGTGAGCACCTTTTACAACCAGGATAACCTAATCATGAAAGGGAGACACTGCATACAATGGTCCCAAAGGCTCCCAGGGGACCTCTACAGATGTTAGGGGAAGGTTTGTGGTTTCTTGAAAAATGTAAAAAGCCCTAAACAAAGAAAAATATTAATCAGTCATTCAGCTTCTTAGAATTACCGAAGGCGCCTAAGCCACACGAATATAACTCCTTCACTCCTCATCAGGGTGTCTCAAAAATATTTGAAGTGGCATGTAGACAAAATATAAGATCAGTTTTGACCACAAATAACTCGAAAGAAAAGCTGACAGACTGATCGGTCCATGTGCCAAATATAATTGTCCATGTAAAAACACCCCAACTTACAATGCGACCACTGTCTGCACTTAAATATATGCATTGATTTCAATTACATATCAAATAAGTATCAGCGAGATGCAACATCTCTCGAGAAATGCAGATCTCGCCTCCATTGCTTAACTGGAATAAAGCCTGATCTGCAAAGATGAAATATTGCTGGTAGATTGTTTTTATTCTCAGAGAGTAAAATATACACAAAAAACAAATACAGATATACAGATATACACTACTGCATACACGTGAAATGTAGTTGCATATAAAATATGATATATTTTTTTTAACATGGAGATCCAGAGCAACAGATTATTGTTAGGAATCGTTCACTAGAGAGAGCACTGGGGTTTTGTTACACATAGATTTAAAGAAATATACCATCAGAATATTGAAAAAAAATCATAAAAGCGTAAAGAAAGGCATTGCATCAGTCTTATGGGATCAGAAAGTTTAACATCAGCTGGTAAGAAGTCCAATTGGAAATGGTGAGGTACAATTTTATTGTGAGTCATCAGTCATGGTATAGGGTTAGAGACTTGAGAGATTTTTTAGACAATGTACGGACAGCAGACACATTTACATTGAAACAACCCCCTTCCATGAATAAGTGTACCACTTTCAAAGGCAACAGGGCTAACCCCTGGATGAATTAACGTGTGAGCTTTTGTCAAGCCAGAAGTCTCGGGTTATATAGGATAGGCTTAGTGAAAAAACTGAAATTAAAATATTCTCAAGGAAGCAGACTAGTGGATTTGCACAAAAAGTTTATTTGGAGATGCTGCTGCTTTGACAGTGGTGCATAAGCGTACATTACAATAAAAGACGAAACAATCGTCAACAACATTGCCTTTCAACAGGAGAGATTTCTGCCAATAACCCTTTCTTCAATGCATAGAGTAAGATCAGTCACAGCAAAAAGTACAATGTTGGATTGATTTTTAATTAAGAGAGGCCAACGTGATCCGGCTGAATTTTGTTTAAAGAAGACGAACTGCTACTGACCTCTAGAAACATTCAAAAAGGAAAGGACAAGCAAAAATAATTGTTGCATTTGTTGTACAAAATTATGTATACATGTACAGTATAATATACACAGATGGAGCAGTTGTTGCCAGAAGCTGTGGGCCACCGCCACCTAACGGCCTCAAAACACTTGGGGACTGCTGCTTTTGTATGTCACTTGAGTTTTGTGTCAATTTAAAACAAGAATGCTAGAATATGAAACATGTTTTAACATTTGTGAGTAAGATAACAGAACCATAAGGAGTGATATGGTAGTTTTTATAAAACATTTTTTAAATCATGAATTAAAAGCAAAAAATATGGTTTTGTATAATTTTCTTTGCAAAAAGCATGTTTGTTAATTGTATAAATTTAGGCAAGCTAAATAACGTGACTTTACCATTACAAATATGTTTGGGTATACTGTTGCCAACAAGACAAACAGTAATAGATCATTTGAGTAAAGAAAAATATGTAGCTTCAAATAAAAAAATGACCTCGTCAAAAAGTTTATTTTGTACAAAGACGTAGCTGAGGGGTCAGAGCACTGAGCCGGCACCACTTATGAGCCTGGGTTTGAATAATAATAATGATGATAATTTCCATAATGCTATAAAATGGCAAGCAATTACACGGGCAGTGAAAAAAGGACAAAAGCATTAAATATTAGTCGTTAGTCATGAATATAATAGTCTCAACCACCTACATAAAATATGGGGTTTCACTTGATTTGGCAAAATTCCATCTTTGGGGAAAAAAATACTGGCTTGTCTGTCTGGTGACAATCTCATAACAGAGTGCATGGTGTAAAGGATAAAGAAGCCACTCGAAAACATTTTCAGAAGTCCGACGAACAATATCTTCCGCGGGCTATACTCTGACATAGTGTGATGCTCTGTGAGATTTCCGAATGGATTCTTCGTCTCATGACGTGATGTCGATAGCACAATTAAAATAAGTTGGGGGGATAATACCCAAAGCGCCCTTCTATACCTTTCACTGCATTTTGTGTTGCATTCACATTTTAATGCATTACAATCTAAGTTAACTTAAAATTGTCAATTGGAAGATCACATTTATTGTCAAATAATTTCAAACATACCAACTTTAAATTGGTTTACACATTAAGAATTAATTTAATTATAACTATGAC